TTCCTCCGTCAACGCCATCTGCTTTGGCAAATGTTAAGGCTGGCTAAATACCCCCTGAGTCCTCTGTTCAAACCAGATTATCAACTATTCTAAGGAGGCGGACGAGCATCTTATCATCATCCCAATCTCTTTTACAAAGGCAAATCATGAATTCTGTGCAAGGATTACCCGGATTAAGGAGGACACAGACGTAGCCCTCCTCGGACCATGTTGTTAAGTCGCTGCCTTGTCTTTAAGTCTAGCTTCCTTCAGCTTGCAAACAAACAACTTCATCTCATCATGAAACTGTTAACAATAGATATTTCTCTAGAGCTAAGACATTGTTTCCAGGACCGGTTTGCAATATGTGGTTCATGTTGAAATGCTTTCTTTTTATTTATTTATTTTTATATATATTTTTTTCAGTTTCAGTTTTTCATCCAGCTCAGTTACACTTCAGAGAAGAGTCTGCTCATAYGCACCTTTGGCAGCGCTCATATTGTTGAGCAATAACCCTCAGAGGGATATGGTGATGAAAATTTGCACTGATTTGCTCAAACTGCAATCTAAAATGTTCCATGGTCTTCTGGATGCAAGCTTTAATGAACACATTGGAGGGGAAGAATTTTTTAAAAAAATGATTTTGTTTGTGTAATAAAAAATAATACAAAAAGAAAGCTTGGTCAGATTTTGCTCTATCTTTTGTCTTTGTGTTTACAAGGATTACATTAAAAAGTACATGGGTAAAACTAAAGCCTTAAACCATGTAATTATCCCAAATGTTGGGTGGGGGGGTGAAGGGCAGGGCATGTTACCCAGAGATTGTTTTTTAAGGCTCAGTCAACCCAGCTACAACAGTTGCATTAACACACAGACAAAGCTCTGACAAAGCCACACAGTTCCATCAKTATGTCAAAGTGTTGCACTGTAGCTCAACCGGAGGGCTGAGCCTGCTCATTGCATCCAGTTGAATTTCTCAGGCTAGTTGAGAAAAAAACTGCACTGGAGACTAAGCAGAGAACCGAATGCTCTTTGCACACGATCAGTAGCCCGTGTTTTAGATCATGCTTTTAACAAGCAACAAACAATTGCACAATCAATCGATGTTCTTCATATCCCCGCTCCATAGTCACACCTCGTTTAATCAACAGAATTGTTTTCTATGAAAACAATCTCCGGGCTGTACGGCCGTACTCGATGGCTCAGACGGTGAGCTTCCACATGGATTTGATTGTCGGAAAAGAAAAAAAAAAACATAACAGAAAAGAATAGCTAGCCCCACACACAGGCTATGATTGAATTATTCAGTTTGGCAAAGATTTGGCAGCAATTGTGTGGAGTGTTGCCTTGGAGTGCAACAGAAAAACAGCATCTTCTTGTTTCCTGCACCACTGCACAGCTCATGCATAAACAGCTTCTGCTTACACAGCCCATATTGCTTCAGGACAACTTCACATCATAACCTGAACATGCTTGCCGCTTGGCAAATTGACTTTCACCTTTCCGTAGATACCCATGACATTAAATGGTTTGGATTTTAGGCAATTTACAGTGTTTGAATAAAAAAAAAATAACAGTAAAAAAGAGGTGTGTTCTCAAATGAGCTACAGAATCACAAAATAGAAAAAAGTTCCTGTTTTAGTTGCCTAAAGTCATCAATAAGCCCACATATTRCCATCTGAGTGCATGAAAGCACGAGTGGCTGCCAAAACTGCTTTGATCAAATATACAAGGCAAGCAGAAAGAAGAAAAGAAATATATACAAACTGTCACAACTGCTGCTTCAACTCAGGTTTAGGAGTAYAAAATATCCGCAGTGCTGCTGATCCCACTAAATACACGTTGCTTGTAAAAGATCAGTTCAGACTTCAAACGCAGTGATCATTTAGGTCAAACARTCTGAAATCTGGAACTGTCACTCTATCCCATCTGCAGCAGACAACAGGAATCTCAGAGGAGAATGTAAGGGACTTGTAAAATCAATGTAACAAATGCACTTTTTTTCTTCTCCTGGCCATTTTAGTTGCAAGGGTAGAGACATTAATAACGGATATGTTCTAGTTTTACATTTCAGGCAGGGAACTGATAACAGTGAGGACTGATTGCACTGATTGCGTTCCCAAGGTTGAGGAAAGTCATGGCCAGTTTTGTCTAAAATAACAAACCCCACATGTGACTTTTGATTCATCTTTAGGGCCATTATTCTTAGCTAATTATAAACATGCCTGCTTTATTACTGCTTAGTCTGTCAAACAGTTTACATACAGAAACTAAGCCCTTTACACTCCATATAAATAATAATGAAAGAAAAATGGAAAATTAAGAAAAATGCTATTAAAGACTGTAAGAATGGTCTTACCATGACAGCAGAATAACTGGATACATGTGTTTCTGTGTAAACGTCTGTGTTGGTCTGTATATACTCCAGACATATCATTGCATTATATGTAATCAAATTCACCACATCGAACGGCTCTCCTGGTCTGTGAGATGAAATTGAATAATGTGTCCTCATAAATCATGAATCAATATGTCAACAAAAAAAAGTTCTGGGGAAAAAAAGAAAAAGAAAAATGTAGGGTTTTCAATAAAGTATGGCTTCAGTGAAAAAAAAATACACATTTAAAAAGTCATCTCACTAAAATCACCAACAAAATGCACAAATTTGTAAGAAAACTGAGGTGTTAAAATGGTGGACCAAAAACAAGCCTGAGATTTCTACTTTCAAGAAAACCTTTTTTTTTCCTCAAAAACTTTTTCCAAAGCAAATCCATTCTTTGCCAACCTGCAGTAAAAGCTTAGATTTTTTTTAGGTAGGGTTCTATTTTACATGTTGCAGATTGTTTTTGAACAACTTCAGAGTGGAGAAAGAAAGTTTATTTCTGACCTGATTGACAGACTAGTCTAAATGAAGCCAGGGCAAAAGTGGATTTCTGCTGTTCTTAAACAACTTAGATTCTAAACATATCTGGAAGTATGCTCACAAAACATTTCAATGTGATTTCTAATTGTACTGAGGCTGCCTGAGGGGGCTGAGACCAACCCACCATGGAGGCGGCTTTGTGCCACTGAACAAGGTAGCAACAGAGCTGTAACTGTCAACACGTGACCTTGTGGCTTAACAATGTACGATTGTGATGACATATGATCAACTACCTTATCATGAGGAGTAAGCGTCAAACTGCAATCAACAGCTTAACTGATCAATGACAACTCAGAAAATTTGCATTTATTAGAAAAAAAGGGTATAACCATTACGAGAACTGCTAAACTAGCTGATTTGTCATATTTTAGAAAAGATTACGACATTCATCACAAACTCATTGTGTAGTGCTCCACATCAACGTAGATGAGTTCTGTCCCATGTTGGGTTTTTTGTGCTTTTGTGAAGCCTGTTTTACTTCTGAATGTTCCTTGTGGGCCATGGTCAGCTTGATTTGAAATTTGTTAATAGTCAGCGGCAGCTTAAAGTTGGACTGATCTTTGCGACCATTTCGAGGAACTCTTTTATAAAAACCTCTATAGTGGTTCCTGTGAACTTTTACATTACACCCAGTTCATTTTACATGAAAACTATGGAGTTATTACATACTAAACTACACAGAAGAATCACTAAGTTGTAGCCTTTCTGTTAGAAATTAGATTTTTCTAACACAACTGTGTAAGGTAAAATTGATGGCAGTGAAAATACTTTTAAAACAACATTTTCATGAACCATTTGGAGTTTGAAATAGTTTTAAGAAAGCAGCAATGTACTTCAGTCTTGACCCCATTTTAAGCAGTTGTTACTTCATCAGTCCAGTTAGAGTTCATCTCTTTTCCTACCATTTGTAATCATTCAAACCATTCCCACAAAATCCCACTAAAATTGTTTAAACTATTGCTTYAATATTTGTACACAAATGTTAGGACTTTTTATGGGGTGTGTTGTAGAGTTTTTTAAGCTTATTTAAAATATTCTATTTCTTAATTATGCACAATGTGAAAAACAAAACAACAACCTCAATTTCCCTGCTTTAACAGACAGTGTTACCTTGAGCAATAACCCTCTTTGTGAGTAACCGTGATGCATTTAACAGGTTCACATTTACCTATTAATAGAAATTTGACATTTAAACACTACAAGAAGGCTCTCCTTTGCGTATGCACCATTTTCTCAAATCACCAAGGACACTTTTCCCGAGGGGACTGATTAGTTCTCTCTCAGTTGAAAAATCCAAAGCAACTTTGATAAGCAATTAAACATTTTCTGTTGTCAGGCTTTGTTTTCTGCCTTTCAAGTCTGTATTTTTGGATCAAAATCTACATAAAGACTGCATAACAGAATTTCTGAGGGCTGGTTATTGTACCTTTCATATCAATCTCTGCTCARATGTGTAAAGCTTGGGATTTGTGTGCAATTGTAATAGGGAAAGCTATCATTATCAAATGATCATTATGAGCTAACACGGAAGGGGAAAAACAATAAAAAGAAAGAAAAAAACAAGTTGATCCACAACATATTCTGTTCTGCTGTTTTTGGAGGCTGTGCACTTCAAAGGATGTGCTCTCACCACATTTACATAGCATTCTTATTTTTATATATATCTCTAATTTGTTCCCAATTAGTGATGTATATCTAAAATTTTTTATTTTTTATTTTTATATATATCTCTAATTTGTTCCCAATTAGTGATGTATATCTAAAACTTAATTTCTCTCTCTGATTCAATACCAAAACCATACTGTTGCAAAAGTGGAAATGGGATGTATGTGTTGTTTTCTGTGGCTGAAATGAGCCAGTTAATTGTCTGTTCTTACTGTATATAGCACCCATTAATGGTGTCCAAACYAAACACAGCCACATTTACTTCTAAAGGCCACGACTTGTCTGACAACAAATTATTCCCAGGCATATTTTTCCCCCCTCTAATTTTAGACTGTTTGTACCGAGCAGACACAGGAGCTGTAATGTGCAAACAACTGAAACTAATATTAAATGCCAAGAACAGTGAGTAAGAAGAGTCATCAAAAATATTGAGTACAATGCAAAAAGACTTTAATAAATTTCATAAGCTCACACATACATAAACAAAACATTTACAATTTTCTTCACACTGGCAAATAAAAGTCAATTACAAAGATCATGTAAGGTGCATATTGTACTTCACATTGAATAAAAGTGAGGTCGTCTGTCTCCCTTACAAAGACAAGAAAAGCTTTCCCATTGTATTGTTTTCCCTTTCCCCCAAAGATCAGGAAAAAAAATCTAATTATTACACAGTGCTAAGATGCTGTGTGTGTTTCATACCGTGGCTCCTACGCAGTAGTGAATACATTTGATACCATAATTGCACAAAATATACTTTCCTCAAATAATAACAACCTGCCTCATGGAGAGGCAAGAGCACATAAAATTAAAAAAGCTTTAAAATAGACATGGTCTGTACAACCGTGACAAATATAGACTGGAACATAATCAAAAGGGCTGCTGTTCCGTGCAGTAATTTGATTTACCTATAAACAGTTTCTCACAGGAGGGGAAACAGCCTCTGGTCCACTTTGTCTGTACATTTCTGAGTGAATACACAGGTTATATCTAGAATAACTTTCCTAATTCTATGGTCATGTGTATGTTCTGATAGTGCCTGTTAGGCCTTAACCTACTGAATTTTTTTTTAGCTCACCATTTAACAGGAATATTGAACAATCATGCTGCTAATCCAACAAGCCAGTAACATTTGATAACTGTAGGAACAACTAATCTTGGGATACGTGATGAAAAAAATAAAATAAAAATAACGGAGGGAAATTATGCTCCAAAAAAAGAGGCCCAATAATTGTTGTCTTTGTGTTTCTGTCATATTTTATTGCTGTTTTCAAAAKAAGTCCTGGGTTACATTTTTAAGAGAATGTCGCTTGGTACTTTCTGCTCACCATCAACTCAACCACTGCTTGAGGATTATTATTATTTTTTCCWTTTTTTAACCATCTGGAGTCATTTAAATGTAGATCTCGTGGGTAAATCACTTCTGATTTAGGAACAGAAAGCGACACACAAAAGGTTAGGCTTAGCACGCTTTGAGTCTGCCCTACATAAACAGCTTTTGATTATGACCCGAGCAGTTAGTCCCTTGTGATTGTGGCTTAGCTCAAAGTATTAAACTTGTCCTACCATTTCTTCCTGTGTRATAACAGCTTGGTGATCTTTAGCACACACATACACACATGGAAAAAAAAAGCACTATTGTTGTGGTTGTTGTGGGGGGCTAAATGCATTTCTTTTTACTTGTCACTCAGAATGCTATCATTGGCATCGAAAGTGGAACAGAAAGAGGCAAAGAGTAACAAAAATGTGAGCAATGTAAGCCTACAGGTTGAAGGCATTGCAGCATAAATACATTGTAAGTAAATAACGATATAAAACATAGAAGGTAAGAAAATAAAATGGCCACCAGGCAGTTTTTTTTAAACAAGGCAAAGAAAAGCAGTCAATAAATATAAACACCATCAAGTTTGTGATAGATATACATACATACATATAAACATACTTTACAGATCTACTGACTGTATTTGACACCTATTTTACAGTTCGGATGGGACATTTTCTTAAGGGGGTTCAGGGCGAGTCCTCCTCGCAGAAACAGGTAAAATGTAGCATAAGACTCAGTAAAGCATTTCAGACATCCAACAAATTCACAAGAGGAGCTTAGTCGGGTTTCAGACAGCAACATAATGCGCGTCTTTTTTTTTTCTTTTCTTTTCTGAGACGCCCCCCACCCACCCGTCCTTTTCCAAATTCATTCTTATGGACTTATTGAAGGAAGAGGTGCAGTTTGAGGCTGTAGAGACAGTAAAGTACGTGTTTCACCTCTTCAGTTCTTCCATCTTTTCTCTTTCTCTGCCCTCTCTCTTTTCTCTCTTTTTCTCTCTCTCTTTAGGAAGTAGGAGCTAGAGATTGATTTTAATCCTGTGGGAGCGAGCTGTACCTGTGCCACAGAGTGTGCCATAGTGTGGTGGGTTCAGTGCCATCTCCTGAAATATAGAGAGACAGACAGATATAGGGAGATTGTGGTTATAATATCAATGAGCTCTGAGCAACCTAAGCTGTAGCCTTATTGGTGTGAGGCTTAATTGACAATGAGCAAAACAAAACAAAAAAACAGTTTTGAAAAATGAGTAAATATAAATATATATAAAACATTCTTCAAGGCACTGCTGGCAATCAAGTCCTTATGTCAGGTTTCCTTGAAGAATGCCCCAGGTGCTTTGTGTGTTTTCCTGTACTTATCAGAGCATGCAATCTTATCCAATTAAAACTCCCAATTTCTTGATTTCTTTTTGTCTCCCACCACACTAGTGCAACACTCTTCATTTCCCCTAAAACAACCATTTGAATCAATTTAGGCCCACTCTTTCATTCGGACCCTTGCCAGTTGGGTCCTCTGATATGTACAGAAGATAACATTTTGCTGTTCCTCAGACAGTTAGCAGCACATCTTCAAGTACTTGAAACAGGGATAATCAATCTGACCTGATAGGGCTTATATTAGATAGTGACTGCAGACATAATGGCTCAACAGAAATAGACAAAACAAAACAAAACAAAACAAAAAAACTCAACAAAGATAATGATAACGAGACACAAGCAAAGACAAGTCCTTTTCTAGTGTATGATGCCAATATCTAATTTAAAAGATGAGCTGATCACTGTTCTTAGCAATTTTTTTTTTGTTTTTTACACTGTCTCTTAGAAAGTATATGATAAGGACTGTGGCAAAACTGGGCACGGATCTATTTATGATTCAGTATTTTTACTGAGATGCCAAAGACAATATGGAGTTTTCTCTTATCGTATGTAGTGCATAGTGTTCCCTTCCCCCACCTGTATGTCAGTGGAATAACAGAAACGTCCCCAAACATAAGTTGTTTTTGTTGGCAAAAAACACTGTTGTTCATGGACTGTCTAACAGTAAAGTGTCATTCATCACCCCTTTAATGTAACATTAGATGTTTAAACATATAGATGTTTGCTACAAGCTATGAGATTTCATGTTTTTCAGTGAAATAAGCACCCAATTGCAGGCTTGATGATTTAACTGTTAATTAGCTAGCTAACATCAGCTTGTTAGGCTTTTAACTTTACAATAAGCAAAATGACTTAGAAGGGAAAATATACTGCACAAATAAATACATTGACTTTAGAATTATGRCAAACTGTTGCTGTTTAATCTTTGTGTGGGTAATGCAACACATTTGCAGTACTTGTGTTCTCGCACTAACCTAATCCTGTCTGTGCATACAAGTTAAAATGAATGTATATTATCATATTCAATATTATTTTTTTAAATGTATAATAATCATTAGCAACCATTTAAGATGCAATAGTATTCATAATTGCTTTTATGAAGAAGCATGTAGATAATGCGGTACCATTTTAAGTTTTTTGCTTTAAATCTTTGTGTTAATGTTGCAAATGTGTGCTTTTTTATTGTTTTTTTTTTTTTTTACTTCAAGGTATCACGCTGTTAGGATTGCTAGGACTGCACAAGTTTATGCCTTGGTTTAATGGAGAAATTACTGACTGACCTAATTTTGTAACACTTAAAATCTGTATTTCTAAAACTAATATTCACATAAACACATTTTATTTTATTTATTAWTATTTATTATTGTTATTATTTTTTGCATTTTGCCACAAAATGTTCTATTTATGCATTAGCAAACTTAGTACAAGAGTTCATTAACCCCTTTTTCCTGCAAGTGTGATGTCTAATATCATTCGAGAAGTTATTTGATCCATCTCYCTTAAATGCAAACGCTCTAACAAGACCTCATCATCACCGGAGGCAGACTGACCTCCAATATCAAAGGGTGTAGGGGCTAAAAGAAAACGATGAGACTTGTGGGGGGTGGGGGGGTGGACTGGCATTTGCAAATACTTTTCTTGTCGCATAATGAAGCCATATGGTGGCACAAATCTGCAGTCTCTGAAGTATTTTTACAAGCTTTACTTCTTATCGTCTACATCTGTAAAGTCCCTGAAAACATTTTGGTGACCTTCAACCATAATTATCTCCTCCTGTGTTCCCCCTTGATTGGTATTCCACGGGTGGGATTTTTGTCTGTGAGAAATTTTCCCTGGCATTAAGTGCATGGCAGATCGCTACAAAGTTACAACAGAATTGTCGTTCACTTTGATGAAGGAAAAGGGAGAAAACTTAACAACGTGCCTATGATCTCTGCTTTTGGAGTTCTGGCATTAACGTTGCACTGAAGAAAGACAGAATGCCTGGCGCTTAGAGAACAAATGCCGCTTTGGTTTTAAGAACAGCACTTCAAATCATCTTGACAAACTCCAGAGTGTTCGCACATTCTTTTTGCCTCATCTAATAAAAGCAAGAACCACATCTTTTGAAGAAGTGCTGTTTTCAAGTGTTCTTCTTAAGACTTAGAAAACAGGTTTTTTTTATTTTTTTTTTTTTATTATTTTTCTCAAAGAAAGCACAAAGATTTAATCAAAGCACAATGAAGTTGTAATTGGGCTCCAACAAACAGGGCTGCTGGTCATCTACCTCACATCACTTGAACGTGAATCGCCCTAGGATAGTTTGTGGCATTCCTGATAATCTTAAAGGACGGCTGCCTTTATTCCCCCCATACCTCTTATCAGTCTCATTCGCAAACCAATTACGGTGATTTTAATCATACTGTATTACAAGTGATTAACCCTTTAGTGCATTTAATTAACCTTTGCAACCGCTGATTCTCATTGGGCATAGCTTCATGCTATTTTTTCTGCGACACAGGCTTTAAATAAGCACACTTTAAACTGGTRGGAAATGTAACATCTAAAGTGGGAGGAATCACTTGTCATTTGCTTAAGGCAACACCAAAATTAGATATGCTGTTGGTGTAACATCACCAAAGATGGTTGTTGGTGAGTATATCCSCTTAGAATACCTTATTTTTTATTGTTTTCAATTGATGATATGAAAATATGAGAAGTTTGTACACATGAAGCCTGTCTTCAACTAGATGAGTGAATAAATATACCTTAGAAACAATGGGATATAAACATAGCCTGAAGATTTGAAAGAATGTTTACTAATCAAATATTCATAGATTTTTAAATTATCTGCACAAAAATACTCCACTCTGATCAGCACCATAAGTGAAAATCAATTTAAATCTGTGATGCATTAAATTCGCAAGGGATAATAATTCAGAATTGTTAAACACAAACTGAATATTTCTGCATCTTCTCTGGAAGTCATTACACGTAAGAAGGGGAAAATCATCCTGACAACTTGACAGTGTGTCGTATAAACACATTATGGATTAAATCTTCAGTACCAGGGGCATGCGCTGGGCTTATGTATGATGCAGCATGGCAGGGCATAGCTTTTAACTAGGGTTTCAAATAAAAGGTGGATGAGAGAAATGACGATCAGCTCTGTGTGGGTGTCTCCGTAAATTAGCCTAAGTACTACACTTTACAGGATCAACAGTCATTCACAACAACCATGCTATGAGGAATGCTTGCTCCGTGTCACAGAAAGATACTGCGAGTAAAAAAAGGGCACAATACAACCAGAAATGTAGGAGACATTGAGAAATATGAGGTTGAAGACAYAAACAAAGAAGAGCACCTTGTGAAATAAATAAAATTATAAATACAATATTGATGCAATATCATGAAATTGACCCAGAAATGGATGAGTGGCAGTTATAATAATTATGATCAAAACTAGAACAGGAACGAAAACCAGTGCAACGAGACAACAAACAAATCTAAAAGAAATCCTAAATAAAATGGCTGAAAAAAATTATAAGTTGACAGGGTGCTTGAGGTAAAGCATGGCAATGTTTATACCATTATGAATAAACTAGTTCCCTGTGCTCAGTCAGCCCTGTTTAATTTAATTGTGCTAACAACAGGTCAAATACATAGTTATGTATTAGAGAAACAACAATGAATGCATTTTTATGTAAAATACTCACTGAAAACATCAAAGTGAGAAAGAGTTTCAAAAAGATTAGTCAAACTTTACATCAGCCAATTTAAGGAATGCAAAGGATGTTACATATGCCATTTATAACAATAATTGGGGTCATTAAAGGAGAACATTTACRGGCTTAGTGCAGAGTTGGCCTGGCAAGCTTTTTATGGACTATTGCTCCCTTGGTGTTTAAGTTTATTGGTCTCAAGGCTCTGCATCACCTTGATCCCTATGACCC